CTTAGGCTATCTCCCCTAGGACTCAGTCTAGTGCTCTGTATATGATAGATGTTATTAGATGATTCCTGAATAAATGAATGAATTACTTCACCTCCATCTTTTCGGCCAACAAATAATCTTTAAATTGGGAAATACTGATCAGAGTGAAAGAACTTGCTGTTCCCAGGTTGGTCATTTGTCTGGGCTAGAAGATTCCAACTCATTTCAAACAATATGTTGCTTTCTTAACTCTATTTTTACCTCTCTTGCTTATGTTGGTTTAATGTTTTCCTGTTTTAGGAATTGAGGAGATCGAGGGAGGTCTTGGAAGAGCTGCTGCCCTGGTTTGTTTCTGTTTCTATAGGCTACAGCCCAGTAGCGAAATTCATGATTGGGTTGCTTCAATGAATAGTGTGAATGCTCAGAAAAGGAAGCAATGGTAGCCCTAAGCCAGCCTAACTCCCTCAACAACAGGTCATGCCAAACTAGCTTAATTTCCTTTGTTGACGTTTATTGGACTTGTAGATGAGGAGAAGGTCACAGACAACACCAAAGTATTTGGCAGTGCTTTACTAAATAATCCCTTTAGACAGAATGGATTTGGACCAGATTGAACAGTTAGGCCCAGAAAGTGTCAACTGATGAATAGAAGTCAGTTTGGAGAGAGGTCTCTAGTGGAATTTTTCAAGGATCTGTCATTGGCCATGTCTTCAACATTTTTATCAATGATTTGAATGAAGACATACATGTAACGTTTCTCAAATTTACTGAGTAAAAAATCTGGAGCTAATAAAGAATCCAAGATCCAAACATTCAATTCAATTCAACAAACATGCAAAGCACTGAGCTAGATGCTAGGGAGAGCAACGCAAGTAGGCTTGAAGAATGGTCTGAAACATAAGAAGAAGATGAAATGGAATAGATCCAAATGACTAAGTGCACAAGTAAAGTACAGGGGAGTCATGGTCAGTTACTTGTAAACTCAAGATGAGCCAACCATGGGATGCATCTGCTAAAAGATCTCTGGCTGCACTACTAGTGTGCTGACCAGACAGGAAAGTTCTTGTGCAATGGTCAGATCACACCTGGGGTCCTGTGTTCAGGTCTTGATGTCGCATTTTGAGAGGAGTACTGACCACCGAGGGCCCATCGAAAGAAGGGAAGCCCAGGCTTGTGAAGGGTCTGAAAAGCATGGCATGTGACGATGTTTAGCCTGAAGAATAAAGGACTTAAAAAAGAATGTGATGGGCATCTTCGAATATTTGAAAACTTGGCATGTGGAAGGGAGACTGAACTTTTTCTGCTTGGCCTCATGGTATAGGATGGGAGGAAGGACTTTCTAACATTCCAAGCTGTGCAATGACTGAAGGAGTTGTGTCTTGAGGTAGTGAGAGCTTTGTGGTTGGAGGTATCCAAGCAGTGGCTGGAAGCCTATCTGAAATCCCTTCCAACTCTAAGATTCTATGACTTAGAACTTAGTCGTATTCTCTGGACTGACTACTCAGGCACTCTTTGCTATGTTTACTGATTTCTGGACCTTGGATCTACTCTTGTTGGACATATAGTGTCTTCCAGGCTCTCCCTATCATCTCTACTCTCAATCCCAATGACCCCCCCCAATTAGCTATACTCCTTGGCAGAGATTCCAACCCAGCACTGACATGGTGAGGTGTATAAGAAGGCTGAGCACCCAGAAGATCAACGGGGTCCCAAGCTGACTCCTGGGCACCATATAGCTTTCCTTCCCAATGACAGAATTCTCCTTCCAGATAAATCAAGGCTCTGTTCACAGCCTGGGTTCTAGTCACAAGATCCTGGTCTTAGTCCTTGCTCTGTCACTTACTACCTGAGTCACTTTGTACAAGTCACTACTCTTTGGGCAGGGGGGGGGCTTCCATTTCCTCTCTGAGGATTTAGTCAAGAAGACAGTTAGCGATGGAAGAGGAACCTAGCCCTTAAAAAGAGAATTCGTTTTCTTCCTTTCAAGATGGCTGCCTAAACGAAGGAGGTCATCCAGTTCTCTCATATGCTTACTTCAGCAAAACCCTGAAGTTTGCATCACATTTAATAATGATCAAGATATTCAATAAGAAACTATACTAAGTGGCATCTTCCATCCCAGAATTGCATAAAAAGTCAGCAAGAAAAGCACAGGCAAGAGGAAAGGGAGCCCCTTCCAGCAAAACAAGTACCACCACAACCAGAGATGGGACACATTTGGGCCTCAAAGCTCTGCATCTAGAGGCAGGAAGAGCAGGAGACTCCCTTGAGAAAGCCCCAGAGTGATTAAAAAATACATTGTGGGGACTTTAGCAGCAGTAGGTAGTGATCTAGTGTGGTACTTCTCAGTGCTCAGAGGAATATAGCCCTTGCCCAGGGGCCCTGAGATTCCAAATAATCTGTCCTGAAATCCCAGAGAAAATCCTGAAGATCCAGCACTCAACCTCAAAGATCCAGGTGAGTTGAATTCTGGTAGATCCAGTGAGAGACCAAATAGAACTGAACCCCACTCCCTACCCAAAATTACAGCAGGTTGGTGGACAAAACCCCAATTCAGGAACTAAAGTTGGAGAGATAAGTAAGTAAAAGAAAACATCATATCTAGAGATACACAACCAGAAGGAGCACGTAAGTCCATAAGAATTGCAAGCAGAGACTCAAAGGAAAAAAATGGATTTTCCGTAAGACCTACATGAATACCTAGAAGAAATTATCATAGTCCCCTGTCCCTCACAAAAGCGGCCATTGTAACATATTTTAAAAGGCACAGAAGAGACTAGAAGGTAGGTCAGAAGGAAGCACTGACAAGCAGGACAGTTTGGAAATTAATGTGTTGAATTTATTGCATACTTTTTTTTTAAAGCAAGTCATATGAAATGGAGAGTCACATAGAATCCTATTTTTTTTTGTTCCACTATGTTTATGGAAATGCCTTTGGGGATGGTGGTGTTTATTTTCAGAATTAAAATTGCAGAAAAATAGAACATAAAAGAAAGTTATTTTTTAATGAGGGGATGAGATTAGATTATCTTGAAGGTCCCTTTGAGCTCTAATGTTCTGTGATTCTGTGATCCAGCATCACAGAGTTGGCTGGATTCCAGGACCAAGGTCTTAATTTGGCAATTGGGCACTAGGTCAGAGCAGACAGGTTGGTGCTGGTGCCCTTCCTAAGCTCTCTACCTCCGCAATCTGGTCACTTCTCAGATCTCAGAGATAGAATACAGACAGGAGAAGTTCAAGGGCCTGGGATGAGGGAGCACCCAGGGAGACGGAGGGCAGGGATGTGGGTCAGGGCTCTGGTGAATCTTGATGTATTTGGGGCTGTTAGAGATGAGGAAATGACATAAAGGAGGAGATGCTCTAGGATTCAATGATTTCTTTAGATCTCTTGAACATACTGTTGGCGAGGAAACAAGAATGGTGATGAGGTTGTCTCTGGGCTCCAGACTATGGCTTATTGATGGAGGTTGGGGGGGGAGGATGCATAAGTGACAGAGTGGGATGTGTGTGTGAGGGGGAGGAGGGAGGGAGGAGTGGGGCAATCTGTTCACTATGGCAAGTGCTGGTTTAGACCTGGGCTTTCAAAAGGAATTCAGCATCCCCACCACCATTATGCTCCCCACTCTGCAGGCTGTAAATATTGCATCAGCTGTTCCTGAACAGCCTGGGGCTACCTGGACCCCTGCCCCCCAGTCACATGAAGGTTGCCATACTGGGCAACAAGGGCACCAAGGACCCCACCCCCACCCTGGAGACTGCTTTGGCACTAACGCCCCATCAGGCTCAGGCATCTATCTCTGGACTAGATGCCACTCTTCCTTGGCCCCTGAACTCTCCCTGCCTTTCTCCCTCTTCCCCTGTAAGCCAGGGATTCCTGGGCAAGGGGAGATACTATATTTCCCTAAAGAGATATCTACTTCTTTTACTGGAAGGATTCTCTGGGGACCAGTTGAGGTCCCAAGCCAGTCTCCCATGCCCTCCTTTACTTCTGGAAAGGTTTTCTCCATTGGGGTAGGATAGTTGTGAAGCAGGAGGTATCAAGCCCACCATCTGAGGAATTCAGCCCATTTCTCTTCCCAGAAAGCCCAACCTCCCTCCCCCTGCAGGAGTCTCTTGCATCCATGTCCGATGGTCATCCAGCCTGAGCCTGAACATTTTACCCCACCTCCAATACTCACTAGTTTTGTGACCATGAGCACCTCTCTGAGCCTCGATATCCTCATCTGTAAAATGGGGATGAGAATGCTTGCACCACCAACTCCCAAGGGTGATGCAAAAAAAGTACACTACAGGAATGTGAGTTGCTTTTATATGCTGCAACAGTAAGGAAGCCTGAGCAACTGAGCTGTGAGAGCAGGAAGGCGGCGACCTGCTCCTCTGCTCTGGAGTTGCCAAGGGGTGGAAGCTAAAGCAAGACAAGCTGAACTGGGTTCATGTCCTAGGCTGGGATGGTCTGCTGCTACCAAGGTAATTCTGTTGGAAGGAGTAGGGGGCCGGGGTGACTTAGGGGGAGGGAGGGGAGGGATGTTCCATGGGTAACTCTAAATTCTAATTTATTATATGGATTCCTGGGGAAGTCTTGTGCTCAAGGGCCATCCTGGAAGCTGTCCAATGCCTCAGTGTTGGTGAACATGGAAGGGTTATGGCCATGACCTGGCCATCACAGGTCATAGGACCCTGGCATTATGGACTTCTTTAATCCACTCTCCCCTCCCTTTTATAATAGCCCTGATGGGTGGTCCTCTTGTCTAGATCTGAACTCTTTCAATAGCACTTTTAAAAGCACATTCTCTTCTTGGGGCTATAGTTTAAGGCGATCAAATACCTTAAGGGAATCTAAGGAGACTGATGCTGTTTAGGTTGAAACCTGTGTTTTAAAGAGCTAGGGACCTCAGGCTGAAGGTGATTTCTCCTATCTGTAGGGTTAATTGGCTCTCAAATGACCCCCACTTGGCTTGATTCTAAGGGAGGGGGAGGGGTCTGGGGGAAGGCCTGGTGGATAATGGAGTACAGAAACTTACCTTTCTTTTCTTTCTTTTCCTCCTCTTCTCCACTGGCTCCAAGCAAAGTAAAAATAATGCCAGTCTGAGAGTTCACACCGACAGCAGTGACCACCATCCTTCCTGAGCCTTCCATGACGTGGGTACCTGATTAAATAAGAGAGAGTCAGGATGCTACATGGACTCCTCTAGAACCTTGGTTCCCTCCACCTATGAATCAGAACCAAGCCCTAGTAGGGTATGAGACACATACAGAAATAGCTGTTGTAGAAACCAGGATAGTAGAAATGCTGTAAGAAGGGACAAAAGACCCTAATCCAGATGCTTAGTTCAGGGGAGGGTGGTAGGTTTGGGGAAAATCTTAACATATGCACATTGAATGGAATTGAAATTCCTTAACTGGGGATTCAAGCCCCTTCACAATCTGGCTCCAAGTTCACCTTAAATCAGTTCTCATTAAGTAGAGTACATTCTACACTCTACATTCCAAGCAAATTTGACTTGCTGAAGTCCTGAACATGACTCATGTTTTCCTACCCCTCTGGACTACTTATCACCCTGGAATTTCCTCCCTCTGCACCTTTCCCTATTGATATTCTGGATGTCACTTATTGCCTGAGGTAACTTGGGGAAATCATTTCAGTTCCCTAAGCCTCAGTTTCCTCATCTGTAAAATGAGGCAGTTGGACTCTATGGTGTTAAAGATCCTTTCCAGCTCTAATGCTGTAGTACATTTTCACCCAGAGACAGGAAGTAATTTGCCCCAGACCATGAAGCTCATAGTGGCAAAGTCAAGTGACAAGAGTCTGGTCTCCTGGCTGTGAGCTTGTTCTCTTCCCACTCCACAGCACTGTAGTATACGTAAAGGTAGGATCTAGGATGCTAGGCCCAGAGCTGCCACATCCTGGCTTTGTGACTCGGGGGAACTTCCTTCTTCTCGTTGAGCCCCAGCCTGCGCCTCTATAAGATGAAGGAACTGGGACAGATAATGTCCCATGTTCCTCCCAGATCTAACATTCTGTGACTCCATAAAATGGCAAATCTATCTCTAAAGTGAAGACTTGGGCCTGGTTGTCTCTGTCCCATGAGCCTGGATTTTCCTTGCAAGCAAGTTTGACTGTGTGGGACTGGCCTGTATTACTTGGGGTCACTATCTGATGGGTAAGAATGGCTCAGGCCATCCTACTCCCCCTCCACCCCTCCCTGCCTCCACCTCCCAGACTTCCAACACGGAAATGCCATGGAAAGTCTCAAATTGGCTTTAATGTTCTCTAGTAAGGACAAATGAGCTTCAAATTGGGAAAGATGGCACGAAACAGCCAACAAGGACTGAACCCAAACCGAATGTGAAGATAATAACGTAATATGCCAGATGCCAGTTAGGCCACTCGCTAGGCCCAAGGGAAATTGGGATGTGAAGACTTTCAAAAACCAAAGGCTAGGCCATGGCAAGAACTGTAATTTTGGGGAAAAGTCAACATATAAGGGATTATAGGATAATAAGCCCTTTGCTCTAAAGCTGGAAGGGAAGAAGCCCTTAGAGGCTATCCAATAGAACCCCCTCATCTTACAAAGGAGGAATCTAAGGCCCAGGGAGGGGAAGGGACTTGCCCAAGGTCTCACCAGGAGTAAAGGGGCAGAGCCAAGATTTGAACCCAAGCCCTCTGACTCCAGTGCCAGCATGTTACCATACAGTCTCCTTCTATTCCCTTTTTAGATAGGGTTACAAGAGTAGTGGGGCAGCTAGGTGGTGCTGCAGAGGATAGAGCACTGGGCCCAGAGTCAGGAAAACTCATCTTCCTGAGGTCAGATATAGCCTCAGATACTTCCCAGCTGTGTGACCCTGGCCAAGTCACCTAACCCTGTTTGCCTCAGTTTCCTCATCTGTAAAATGAGTTGGAGAAGGACACTGCAAAACCACTCAAGCAAACCCCAAATGGGGTCACGGAGAGTTGGACACAAT